CACACACACACACACACACAATGGCAGCAGGAGAAAGAGACTCAGTGGAAGGGCTGGAGTCCAGGTAGGGAAGAAAAGCAGAGTCCAAGTCCTTGGCTGAAGATGGGGTGGAGGTGATAGCTACCTATCCAGGCTGGAAAGGGGTCCTTGTCCAGTAGGTGTTGTCCAGAGCGGGGTCGCCGGCAGGGCCTCTGGGTGGATAGGTGGTGTGGCATGGTGCTGGTCCAGATGGAGAGGATGTCCCCCTGGGTCTGTCTTCACTGCCCCTTTTATAGGGGCAGACCTTGTGTGACCCTAGTGACAGGAGGCATGCCCAGGCAAGGGTCAGCCCCTGGTGTACTGAGCATGTGCGCTCCATGCAAGGATGTGCCGTTTCGGGTCTGTAATGGTGGGGTACAATGGTAGAGTTGCTGGTTCTGCAGGGTCTTTGGTCTTTCAAATGCTGGTCTTGTCTCTGTTCCTGGGTGAGGTCCGTGGTTCCTGGATGAATCAATGTGAGGTGATGGCCTGGTTGTAACAGGCCATTCAGTAGAGGCCTGCTACCATTGTGTTTCAATCATTCTCATTCATCTGGGAACCAATTTACATGGGAAGGGTACATGAATCATACAGTTGCAACACAGGGGATGCCCAGGCAGAGGACACAAGATGGAGGCTTGACATACAAAATGGAAACTTGACATGACTTATGCTAACTTACGTATATAGGCCTAAACCAGGAATCACATAATATAAAAGCAGTACAAACATAATAATTATCACTTATAAAACAGTGGGTATCGATAGCAATATAGCAGGGAACTTATTTGCAAAGAGGGGAGAGAAAAATAAAACTTACTACCTAAAATAAAATGTTAAAGCTTATCCTACATCTTAGCTTACTTATACTTATCTATGGGGAATAGAAAGGGAGAGAAAAAGTCAGAAATGGTTGGGGAAGAAGAGGGAATGCATTTTAAAATAAATAAAAAAAGAAAAACTGTGGGTTTTGCTACAAATTTAGGGTATGCCCTGCTGAAAGCAATCAGTGTTTATTTTCAATGGAAGCAGGATTGAACCCCCAGAGAATTCTTTTATTAACCAGGTGGTCAGGTGCAATGGTAAACTAGTATTTTAGGCAGTTTTTATATTTCTGAAAGTAATATTTTAGGCAAGGGACTAGATCTGTTTTAGGTGTGAAAAATCTGGTGAGAGTTAAAGTATAAAAAAAATAAGGGAAACATGAGGGTGCTTTGAAAAGATATCATATTTCTTTATATAAAACTCCAAATACAGCTCATTCCTAAAATAGGACATTTCTAATCCAGATCAACTGTTGCACAACTGCTCTCTGCCATGGATAGACATTTTCAGGGACAAAGTCACCAATTTTTTTCAGCTTATGTTCTCCTGTGAATCTAAACTTGAACCATAAAGGTGAAATCATATTGGACTAATATTCTGTATCATTTTAGTTTGGATTCATTTTTACTAACATTTGAAAATTTATGGATGTCCAACTGCCCAAAAGATTTAAAAGTGCTCCCAACAGAATATGGGGTCAGGCTAAGGAAGATCTCATAATTTTACCAGGCAATATAAGGATATAAGGAATAAATGTGTGTGTCTATTAGCCAATAAAATAGGTTCTGCTGGCTTATCTGAATGAATAACAAAATAGGGCATCCAATCAAACCAGGCTTAGTAAAGTGAGATTTTAGGGTTTATTAGACTAGACTGATTTTTCATCCAACTTAAGATAACTCATTATAATACCTATGAAGGTATTTACCTCAAACACTTCTGCTCACCCTATCCTCAGAGCAGGCATCCTTGCTTAAAGATCATGAGCTTTAACTCAATGATTGTATGTGTACACATATATAGTGAGGAGGAGGAGTCGAAAATTCACTATCCAGATGTTGATTCAAATGCAGCTAAAATGAAAATGTTTTCTCACTAAATATACTAGCAAACAAAGAGCCCAGTTCTGCTTATTATTGACCTCAGACATCAGCTTGACCAATACTGGGCCCAAAACTACAGTAAATTTGACAGTCAGTGCTATCATGTTCTTAAATTTTCATCACTTAATTTTAGGGGGAGATTTTCCAAAGCA